AGCCAGGTAGAGTACATAGGGCAAGCTACAGGGAAATGGGCGAGGAGCTGCCATGCTGTCTCTGGGCATGCCATCCTCCTAGCACCCCCGTGTTCAGCACCCTGATGAGAAGCAGTTCCAAGTGGATTTTTAAAGGCAAAAAAGGGGGACAGGGAGTGGGCTTATACAAAGTTGTTTGTAAAGGCTGGGGGCAGTGGTTCACGCCTGTGATTCTAGCACTTTGGGAGGCCAAGGTGGGCAGATTACTTGAGGTCAGGAGTTCTAGACCAGCCTGGCCAACATGGTAAAACCTCGTCTCTACCAAAAATACAAGAAAGTTAGACAGGTGTGGTGGCACATGCCTGTAGTCCCAGGTACTCAGGAGACTGAGGCAGGAGAATCCCTCAAGCCCAGGAAGCGGAGGTTGCAGTGAGCCGAGATTGTGCCACTGCACTCCAGCCTGGGGGACAGAGTAAGCTTCTGTCTCAAAAAAAAGAATTTTTTTCTTTTTTGGTAGAGATGAGGTCTCCCTGTGTTGCCCATGCTGATTTTGAACTCTGGGACTCAAGTGATCTGCCCACCTCAGCTTGCCAAAGTGCTGGGATTCCAGGAGTGAGTCACTTTACCTGGCCAGCAGGCAGCTTCAAGAGATGAATACACAGCTGAAAGGAAGGAGTAGGCTGTGCCTGCTGTCTCATTTAATGTCTCTCTGGGGCTGATAATTTACTTTTACTTTTCAATTTTATTTTATTTTTTGGAGATAATGTCTTGCTCTGTTGCCCTGGCTAAAGTGCAGTGGTGCTGTCCCAGCTCTCTGCATGCTGAAAACCCTGGGCTCCAGTGAGCTTCCCACCTCAGCCTCCCAAGTGGCCGAGTGGCTGAGACTACTGGCATGCGCCACCATGCCTGGCTAATTTTATAATTTTTTAATTTTTGTAGAGACAAGGTCTGGCTCTGTTGCCCAGGATGGTCTTGAACTTCTGGGCTCTAGGGATCCTCTCTCTTTGGCTTCCCAAAGTGCTGGGATTACAGGCAGGAGCCACTGGGTTCACAAACCTGAAGATTTAAAGGATTTGCATTCCTCAGATAAAAGTTCTTCTCTTTTCTCACTGGCTGGGGCTGAGAGTTCCAACCCCTAATCCTCTAATCACTTGATCTTTCTGGAGCCCAGCCCCAGCCAGCGCTGCCTAAGGACCCCCTTCTCTTCTACCGCCACTTCCCCCATCAAGTCACTGTATTAGCATAAACTCAGGTGTTATGAAAGGGGCTCACTATTAATAACAAAAGACCCTCCCATACCTCAGGAAGTCCCAAAGGTTTTAAAGGCTTTGTGAGGCCAGGGTACCTTGACCCAAGCCTTGTAATCCCAGCACTTGGTGAGGCTGAGCTAGGACTCTTTGAGAGGAGCAGTTTGAGGCTGCAGTGAACTATGATTGTGCCACTGCACTCCAGCCTGAGTCTCAAAATAAATAGAAATAAAATAAAAATAAAAGCTCCATGACAGGAAGTGGAGACAAAGCCCAAGTATATTTCATATTATATCAGGGTAGATTTCTCTTACTTTTTTGGGAATTTAATTCTGCACATAAAGGATTTGTTTTTGTAGTTTATCCAGGATTTCTTGGTGGTTTTAGCAGGCAAGTTTTTCAGTATGTCTTGTCAAGATCTTCCTGAAAGCAAGAATTTAAAATACGTCTCTGAGCCGGGTGCAGTAGATCACACCTGCAATTCCAGCATTTCGGGTGGCTGAGGTGGGAGGATTGCTTGAGCCTAGGAGTTTGAGAACAGCCTGGGAAACATGTAACGACCACATCACAAGGTCGGGCATGATGGCTCAAGCCTGTAATCCCAGCACTTTGAGAGGCAGGAGTGGGCGGAGTTTGAGACCAGCCTGGCCAGTGTGGTGAAACCCCACCTCTACTGAAGATACAAAAAAATTAGCCGGGCATGTTGGAGCATGCCTGTAATCCCAGCTACTTAGGAGGCTGAGGCAGGAGAATCACTTGAACCTGGGAAGCAGAGGTTACAGCGAGCTGAAATCGTGCCACTGCACCCCAGCCTGGGCGACAGAGTGAGACTCTGTCTCAGAACAAAACAAAACAAAAAATGAATCACTAAAAAAAATTAAAAATAAGTCAGATGTGGTGGTACTTGCTTGTAGTCCCAGCAACTTGGGAGGCTGAGGCGGGAGGATTATTGGAGCCTGGGGGAGTTGAGGCACAGTGAGTTGTGATGGTATCACTACACTCCAGCCTGGATTGACATAGGGAGATCCTGTCTAAAAAAATAATTACTGGCCGGGCGTGGTGGCTCACGCCTGTAATCTAAGCACTTTGGAGGCCAAGGCGGGTGGATCACCTGAGGTCGGGAGTTCAAAACCAGCCTGACCAACACGGTGAAACCCCATCTTTATAAAAAATAAAAAATAATAAAAATAATAATTATTATGTGATAAAATAAAATACATCTCTGCTCTCTAGGGAATAGATGCTAGTGCTTCTCTGGGAAACATTTATTAAAATAATCAACACAAACAAAAAGAAAAAGAATGGACATTAGCAGGGCGAGAGGGGAAGCAAGAAGATAATTAGGAGACTACTCCAGTAGTTACTAGATAATGATTAGTAGTTCTCAGATGATGAGTTGATTTAAAATGTTTGTGTTCCGGTGGCTCAAGCCTGTAATCCCAGCACTTTGGGAGGCCGAGGCAGGTGGATCACGAGATCAAGAGATCGAGACCATCCTGGTTAACATGGAGAAACCATGTCTCTACTAAAAGTACAAAAAATTAGCTGGGCATGGTGGCACATGCTTGTAATCCCAGCTACTCGGGAGGCTGAGGCAGGAGAATTGCCTGAACCCAGGAGGTGGAGGTTGCGGTGAGCCGAGATCAGGCCATTGCACTCCAGCCTGGGTAACAAGAGTGAAACTCTGTCTCAAAAAAAAAAAAGAAAAATGTTTGTGTTCAGAATATATTTTGAAAGCAGAGCCAACAGGATTTGCTGATTGGATGTTGTTGCTGTAGTAAGAAAAGGAATACAGTAAGACCTCTAGTTTGATGACTGTGGATGTGGGTGAACGGCAGTGCCACTCATGAAACAGTAAGGACTGGGCGTGGCAAGGTCTGTGAGGAGCTCACCGACAGTCTTAGTCTGGACACCTGATATTTGAGATGCTCGGCACCCGGTATAGATGTAAAGTAAGTAGGGGGCAAACTCTGACTAGCGATTTTATTTTATTTTTATTTTTATTTTTTATTGATTTATTTTTTGAGACAAAGTCTCACTTTGTTGCCCAGGCTGGAGTGCAGTGATGTGATCTTGGCTGACTGCAGCCTCCGCCTCGTAGTTTCAAGTGACTCTCCTGGCTCAGCCTCCCCAGTAGCTGGGATTACAAGCGTCTGCCACCACACCTGGGTAATTTTTGTATTTTAGTAGAGACCAGGTTTCACCATGCTGGCCAGGCTGGTCTCGAACTCCTGACTTCAAGTGATCCAACTGTCTTGGCCTCCCAAAGTGCTGGGATTGCAGGTATGAGCCACCATGCCAGGTTGCTTCCCATACATTTTATTTAACAATTCACATCTAGCTCAACTTCTTTTTCTTTTTTTTAAATTTGAGACAGGGTCTCACTGGAGTGCACTCACTGGAGCGCAGTGGCGCAATCTCAGCACACTGCAACCTCGGCCTCCCAGACTCAAGCTATTCAGCATCCCGAGTAGTTGGGATTACAGGTGCACATCACTACTGCCTGTCTAACTTTTTGTATTTTTAGTAGAGATGGGATTTCACCATGTTGGCCACACTGGTCTTAAACTCCTGACTTCAAACAACCCACCTGTCTCAGCCTCCGAAAGTGCTGACATTACAGGCATGAGCCAAGGTGCCCAGCCTTAAGCCACCTCACCCAGGCTTCAACTTCTTTTTTTTTTTTTTTTTTTTGAGATGGAGT